CGGCTCTCTCCGGGCCTGGGCCCAGAGGACGGGCGGAACGCGGACTGCCGGTTCTTGGGCAGAAAGGGAGGCGGGGGAGGGGGCTCCTGCAGCCGCAGGGAGTTGTGGGAGGAACTGAGGCTCACGGGCCCGCACGTGTGGAGATTCGTGGAGACTGACGCCTGCAAGTTTGTCGTGCTGGGGGCAGAGAGAGGTGTTGGAAGGCGGCTGGGAACCAGGGTCGCGGGGTCGGGCCCCTCCTGGAAGTGGGGAGCATGCTGAATGGAGGAAAGGGCGAGGGTGGAAGCTGGCGAAGTGGGGTGGGAGGCGATCTCATTTGTCATTCACCGTATTTGTAAATTCTCTGTCTTTGCTGTCCGTGTAGATGGCTCCCGCAAAGAAGGGTGGAGAGAAAAAGAAGGGACGCTCTGCCATCAATGAGGTGGTGACCAGAGAGTATACCATCAACATTCACAAGAGGATTCATGGAGTGTAAGTATGGAGTTGGTCTTTCCACGAACCTTGTGTGGGGGACGGGGGGGCACCATCTGCAGGATTTTGGTTTGTTAGCACGGGATGGAGATTGTCGGGAGTGAGCCTGCTTCCCTTTTTTTATCCTTTTATTTTCAGGGCGTAGATAATTGTAGACGTTTTATAAGGACGGCGTGAAAATTAAAATATTGAATTTATTCTCCTAAAAATGTGAGTTGGAAGTAATGGATTGGCAGTTGAATAGGTGATTTTCTGTTTTGTGTAAATGGAAGTACATGTTAGAATTTCAATTTTTGAATTGTTTTCGGGGAGTGTTTCTAGCTTATATTGAATAATTGCAGGTCTGAGGGAAACTTTATAAATTCTGAGTTGCACCTTTTTTTAATAGGAAAGTAGGTGAACATAGCTAGCCTGCTGCCAGAAATATTGCTGAGTTTTCCTTGTTCTTCATTTAGCAAGCAGGGACAAGGCATGAATCTATTATGTTTGACTTCTGACATGAAACTCGAGAGTTAGGTTGGTGGAGTGGCATAAAGAATATGTGTGGGGTTATTTTGTGAAAGATTTAAAATTCTGGTGCAGCTTAAGCATTATTGTTGCATGGTGTTATCTATTTGAATTAAGTAATGTTTGAAATTGTAGGAAGACATTGAAGTCAGGTGCATCAGAGAGAAGATAAAATGGGGTTCTGTAAACTTTTTCCACTTTAGTATGTTTATCTCCTTAGTAAAACAGCAGTATACAGAGGAGCATGTGAGGGTCTTTCATTTGGCTTATTCATTTTGGGTAGTACACAGAATTTCTACTTCAAGTAGTTTTCTTCTGCTTTAAATGGTCCAGTGGGCAAAAGTGTTCCTAAATGGCTAGTCTGGTAACATGTTTAGTTTAAGTCTTCTGTTGAGTTTGTTTACATAATATTTGAACAGAGGCAATTGTGGGCTTAAAGAAAGTTTTAGGTAAAAAATGATTTCTTTAGCTCCATTTTATAAAGCGTTGCTTGTATGGAGTAATTTTGTATTTTTGGACTATTTTCCCAAGTCTTGGGTCCCAAGCTTTAGAAAAGTTTCGGCTTCAATTGAAAAGACAAGTCACTGTAAGTGAACAAGGTCTTCTCAAGGGAAGACTATTTAGAAGGCCTGGACTTTTGAGCCCCTCAACACAACCCTATGCAGTAGAATAATGAAAATGTCTTTATTTTACAGATGAAGAGACTGGAACTCTAGGGTTATGTATCCTGCCTAAGGTTACATAAGTATGAAGTGGTTGAGCTAGACTTGAACCCTGATTGAGAGACTGTGATACAGTAGGAACACAGGCTTTGAAAAGTCAGTTCTTGGCTTCAGATCCCCTTTGCTTCTTATCTGGGTGACTTTGGGCAAATGACCTTGGGTCTTAGTTTCCTCATGTGTATTGAGAGTATTGCATTAGATGATCTCTCAGGTTCAGCCCTAGATTTAAGATCTCATGAGCTTCATCTCAGAAGTCCCATCTCAAAATGTAGTTCTGAGTGAAGCACCAGGTAAATATGGGCACTTCTCTTCAAGTAGACTGGAAATTCCTTAAGGGCAGGGACCACACCTTGTAAATTTTACCTTCTATATGTACTTCATTAATTGATGATAACACCCAAAGATATTACCTATGCTCACTCTAAAGAATAATTTCTACCAAACATTTTAGTTAATACTTATTGGACGTATGGATGCAATATTTTGGATATTTTGAATACAACGCTACCTGCTTCCTTAAAGCAGCTAAACTGGCAAGCTGTGTTATAGATAATTTATGAAATGTGCCTTCAGTATCTAAAGTAAAACCATCTTGGACATAGATTCATGCTGTACCTTTTCAGAAGTATGAGGTACTGACCATAAGAATCATGGGAAAAAGCCTGGTTGGGGCAGAAACCATGAATTCTGATCCCGAGTGCATTACTTGCTAAGTGTCACTCTAGTCACTTAAATCACTACTTTAGTTTCTCAGGGTGCACCCTACCCTCTCTATAAAACAGAAAAAAAACAATCCTTGTATCAAGTCCTTTATCACTCCATTGTCTAATAAGTACCTGACCAGAGGCATTGGAGTCAGGAAGACCTAGATTGAGTGCTGTCTCTGACACATGCTAGGTGTGTGACCAGGTGCAAGTCATTTATTGAAATCCTAAGTTGGAAAAAAATGCTAGACACTAGAGTTACTTGGGCGGGGGGGAGTTCTCTGCCATTACATCTTTTTGAAGGTTCTGTATTACTTATCTCATCACATGCAGTGTAGCCTTGGCTAGGTTTTATTTACTCAACAGGAATTATATGTTACCTAAGTGTGGAGACATGAAGAAAGGCAAAAACTTGGCCTCTGTCTTCAAGTGTACATTTTAATGGAGGAGACATATGAATGAAGAGATATACATCTAAGACATGTACAGAATAGGTGGGGGAGTGCTGCAGAAGGTGGGGTTTTAGTTTTATTTGTTGTTGAAGTAGTTATAAGTTCATCCAACATTTTTAGTAAGTTTGTATTAAATTTTTTTTCCTTTGAATTTTAGAGGCTTCAAAAAGCGAGCCCCTCGGGCTCTAAAGGAAATCCGAAAATTTGCCATGAAAGAAATGGGAACTCCAGATGTACGCATTGACACCAGACTCAACAAAGCTGTTTGGGCCAAAGGGATAAGGTGCTTAATCCTCTGTTATAATGAGTTGACCACTTATTTAGCCTTAATTAGAGATCTCCAGTGAAGTTATTGACACTGGACAATATTTTCAAAAATATAGGGTGCTATGTGTTAGTGTAAGTTCTTTCCCTTCTTCAGGCTTAGGTCATTGTTAGTAAAGATAGGCCGAACTGTGAATCCCAAACCAGAAGAAACAGTATTTATTGGCTTCTAACTAAACAACACATGGT